GTTCCTTTGGAGTTATATTTTGGGGATAAGAGAATTGTGTAACAATGTGGGCCCACATCCTCACCTTCAGCTGGGAAGGGAATTGAATAGCTTGAAAAATAATGAAGCACAAAAATGCTGTGATGAATGACTCGCTAAACAAAATCTGAAGGAAAAGAAAGGAGCAGAAATGATCTGGCTCAGAAATAATCAATCTGTGTGTACTGCTCTAAGCTGACTTTTCCTCCTCGTGCATGCTGTACATATATTTCCAGAAGAGGGTCATTAGGAGACTCATTTTAAAATGAAATGTTTTGATCAGTATAAAGGTTTGCAACAGGAGATAGAAAATATGAGAAATAGATTAGGCAACATGAATCTAAAACATAATGGCTTCTGTTATGTGAGCTTAGAATAATGATGTTGAAATTAGGGAAGCTTCATCAACTTTGAATGAATAACTGATCTCCAGTGGACAGAGAGAAAACGAATTTTAATGTTTGTTTTAAACTAACATTTGGTGAAATAAATGTTTAATGCATTTGTTCTAAACCAGAATTAACTGCACTGCCGTGTCTTGTTCATGGCTCAAGCACTGCTTCTATTCAGCTGCTTCTCTATCCTTTCTATCTCCCAAAGTCGATGGTAAGTTGGGATTTTTAAAGTTTATGATCCATTTTGAAATGTTTGATAAATATACCCCCTACTACTGCTTTTCATGGTGTGTCTGATGGATTTGATTTCATCATGGCAAATGCAAGTGCAAGGCCAGGAATCAGACAAATTTATAATGGGGTAATCGTGTTAAAACCATATTAAGCTCTGTTCATCCTGAAACACTGCAGGAACCTGCAGCTTTGCAGTCACCTGTGTTCCATTTCTCATTGTGTGTTAGAACCCACCTGCTATTACACAATTAAAAATATGCCTGTGGTATAATTCAGGCAGGTGAAGGAGAGTGACCTGCCCAAAATTAAAAAAATAATTAGAAAGGGAAGGATCCTCGAAGAACCTGGGCATTGTTGCAGCTGAAATCATTGTGGACAGCTGACCTATCTAGCAAGCAAGGTAAAACCTTTTCCCTAATCATCAAAGAAAATTGGATGTAAGATGTGAGCTTATGGGAACTGGTAAAAATGTTCTTACCTGTATCTTGGGTATGTGACTAGCTCCAACACCATGCCTTTAATTGAAGACAAATAGTCAAGGTCTGAATACTGTCCTTTAACGCCTCAAGGAGCTCCTCCATCACTGTTCCTGCTCTTTTACTCTGGATGCTTTTATGTTTCCCTAAGTGTACTCAAAGGACGAGAGTGCTCGTGGGACTGATGCTCGCTCCTGGTGAAGCTGTTTGTCTCCTTTGAAGTGCTCCTTTTGACCTTGTCCTGTTCCCCTTGCTAAAAAGGTCACGTACACAGTGAGCAGAGCTGTTCCAGAGACACCTTTATGCCTGTAGAGCAATCCTGCCTTTTCCTGTGGTGACAGGGCCATTTCACAACAAACTGTCCTCAGCAGAGAAATGCAGGCAAACTTCCAGGGGCTCTTGCAGACTCTCCAGCTTAGAGCAGAGAGGTGAGCAGGAGGCAGCCCCATGGCACCAGCCAAAGGGGCTTTTTTAGGAGGAAGCAGCTGGGAGGATGCAGAGCAGGAACTGTCTGCCAGGTGGGAGGAGAGGGATCAACTCAAGCACTGAAATGGCTTGTCCTGGCAGTTGTACGTGGCTGGTAACAGCAGAAAGCACCAGAGGTTGTGAGGATCAGGTTGTTGTGTCCAAGTCACTTAGGTGCTTTGATTTCTATGTTATAAGTGAGATTTAGATCTTTTATTTATCTGCTTGATGTGTCTGAAATGTTCTCTCCTTGGTGCCATCACCAATATAAGCACTTCAGTTTTCTGGGAAAAGACCATTTAATACCTAACACATTCTCCCCAGGGCCTGGATTGTAATGATTGTGGTCAGTGAAATGCTTCATGCTTTGAAGGGATGGTTCATGTGAGTGGGGGGTCTGTTCCTGTCCTCTCCATGACTGCCCAGCAGGCAGGTTGCTCCCTGGAGTACCGAGCTTTTCTGTGCCTCCCTGCTGCCAGCACTGTAGTGCTCTGGTATGTGGTGGTCTGTTTTCTGACTGTGTTGGAGATGCTGTGAAGGGTTTGTTTGTAGCTTTGTGGTAAATGTTGCACAGGGATCTGTGGCAGCAGGGACCAGCTCCCTTTGTAGAGGATAAAATGTAAGTGCTCTCATTATCAAACATGCACTGAGCCCTCACTGAGCACAGGCTGCCTCTGCTGGGAAGTCAAAAGGCAATGAGTTTGCACTGGACAAGTAAACTTGCAGTATGAATTCTTCCTCTCCAAGATCCCTGAATCCCTCCTCATGCAATCCTTTGGGCAAGGACTGTCATGTACTACATGGCTGTGTAGCTTATCAAAATAGGACTCTGGCTCAGCTGATGCCTCTAGATACCAACATGAAATAAATATTAATAACATGGCAGCCTCCCTGCTTACTGTATTCCTGTTTCCAACCTTCTTATTGCTGATCATTTGCAGCTGGAGAAATGGATGCAAAATCATCTTCTTTCAAATAAGGCTAGAGCTGAAAGTGAAAGGGGGCAGAAAAGGGCAGCTGAAATAATTACAGGCATAAGGGGGCTTTGATTTGAGACAATATTAGGCAAGATAAAATCTACTTAATTCTCAGAGCAGACTAATAAACAAGAGTGTGATGGGAGGATGTATAATAATGAATGGCACAGGAAGGGTCAGCAGGGTTGTTCCTCACTGAGTGTTTACAGTATATGAAAGAGATTCCCAATGAAACTTGAAGGTGATAAGCTTGAAACAGATAAATAGAAATAGATATTTTTATGCAGTGCAAAACTTAACCTGTAAATCTCAATTCCACAGGATGCTGTGCTGTTATGAGACACACTTAAATACAAAACTGATGAGAATTTTACATGCCACGTTTATTAGATCTATTCAGTTAATTTAAAAGCCATTTAACTTCATGTTTTAGCTAGACTTCAGAGGTGGCTGTGTTCCAGAAGCAGAAGCAGACAACTTCCTTCCAAAATCTTATAAAACACAAAGACTATACCAAGAAAAACAGGGCAGATGAGACTTGTTTATCTGTGTGCTCTGAAATGACTGTGCAGGCTGAGAAATACTGAATTCACAATAGTTTTTTTTCTTTTCCTTTGAATCAGCTAACTTGAGAAAACAAGCTCCCTGGTTTATTCTGATATAGCAAGCATTTTACTCTTTTTATCAGAGGAGATTGTGCCTACCTAAACCTTATTCCTAAAACTTCTTTCTGTGGGTCAGAAACCCCCTCATGCTGCGTGTCAGAACCATTACCACATCTGGCGAATTTTTCCCTGGAGTGTTTGGTACTAAATTATTTCCAGTCACACAACGTCTTTGTGGCTGAGAAAATGCAAATAATGATCCAGAGATACTCACTGTAAACTAGCAGGTTATTTAATGTTATCCCATTAATACAATTAAACCTGAGGTGATGATGATCACTGATCACTGTGCAGCTTCACAGGAATGGCTGGACTAGTTTATTTTCTCAGACAGGTTTTGGATGGATGCAATTAAACAGCATCCTTCTGTCACTACAGGTTTCTGATGAAACTGAAATCCATGTCTAAACCACTAAAGAACATGGTCTTCCAATTAATTTTGAGTGAGGAGCTCAAACTGCAATACTAGTGGAGTGCATATTTCTAAGGCTATTATAGAGCTAAATGTTGGTCAATGAGATGCCTTCAGGCCTTTCATTGAGACCTTTGAACTGAAAGTTATTTTATCTTTTTGTAGCTTTTTATCTCCTCTTGTGAAGAGGATATACTCCCTCATGTGCTTAGGAAAATGAAAGAGCCAGATGAAGAGGAGGAAGGTAAAATGCCCAATATCTCAACCAGTCCTGCTCAGCACCAAACACGGGCATCTACTGAATACAAAAGGCAACAGAAATAACTCAGGTGTTTCTTTTGCAATCAGCTGGTTTACATAGGGGAGAAAGAGGGGAGTTCAGTGAGATGGCATTGTTGGCCATTTTAATTTTCAAACACAGCTGAGCAATGGATTTTGGTCATCAGTCTCACTAACGTTCTTACTAAATACAAATTAAGTCATTCAAAGGACTTGGGTTTGCACCTAATTATTAAAATGACTGAATTGAAACCACTTTTCACTCCCAGTTTTGAACCTTTTGCTACACACAAGTCATGTCACCCAAAAAAAGCCATCCCACATCTGGTAGTGAAAATAGTGGTGGGACTCAAAATAACAAGAAAATTGTTTACCTTTCTGAATAGGATATGAAATGACTTTCTTGCTTCTTTAAAGCAGCTCAAACATTTACACAAACTTGTTAAGCTGCTTAGAGAGAGGATTGTTTGTCCAGGTAATGCTTCTTTCAGTAAGTTCAGCTGCAAGGAAAGCAGATGCTTGACTTCATGAAATTTGTGGGATTCTGGAAAAATTGCCTCTGGGAGAAATTTAAATAAATTAATGGTGAGCTTCTGCTTTTCTTCCTTCTCTGTCTTTATTTTAAACAAGCTATTCCCTCTCTATGCAGATGGGTCTGTGCAATACTCATAAGGAAGTCACTTAATTATGTAAAGCTGCATCAGGTAAATGTTATTTACAGATGGCTGAAAAATTTTGTATTATACTTATTTGCCAAGAAAAACCTCCCTCATTTCCCAGCTGGTGGAGAGGTGTTGTTAGTCGTCATCAAGGTAAACTGCAGATTGTATGCTCCTGTCTGTGTCTTTTTACCCATTTTGACTGTTATCTTTCTTTGTGTTTTTAAATGGTAACCCTGCAGGCACTGTGCACGTAATTGAAGTAAACAATCTGCTTGTTTATCTCTGTTTTCCATTAATTAGATATGTGCAATCTAAATTTCCTACTGCAAAACATGAGGTGACATGCTAAGGGACCAAATCTGCTTTTCCTCACCAGGCTGAACTGCCAGTGTTGGACAAGACATCTCCAGAGCAGGGGCACAGCAGTGTCTGTAGCCATCTCAATCCAGGCTGGACAGTGAGTGGAGGGTGAACAAGTCACACTGGAAAAGACTGGAGGAGTGACCTGAGAGGCCCCTGCCCTTGGTAGCTGTCTTGAGGGTGAGCCTTTGTGTGTTTTGTGTTTGCTGCAGCTGGGTGTGCACGTCCCCAGCACACTGTGAAGCTCCAGTGTTGTCCCTGGGCAGGGTGAAATGATGCTCCAGGAGTTTCCCCCCTGCCTGAGCCAGGCTCTCAGCAGCGCTCCAGGATAGTTTTCTCAAGCCACATTTCTTTTTTCCTACCTTGTTTGCTGCTGACCCAGCGGCTCAAAACTTCACCAAGGTGCAACCCCTCACCTGAATAGTTACTTCTGACCTACAATGGCACAGGTAAGACCTAAAGGTCCTGCTATTTGCTAAGCTGGTTCTCAGAGACAATATTATTCAGAAATGGCCCAGGTCTCCAGTGGTCATATATTCAAAACGGGCTGGCAATCAGCTGTCAGGTTCAGGCAAGAACTGAAAAGCCTACCAAGAATGAAGTTTCTGGGAAGGAATCTAAGAGATCTTCATGTAACAGGCAAAAGCAAACTGTTTTCAGCCTGCCCACAGACGCCCACTGATGAGAAGAGAGAAGAGGGAATAGCCTCAGCTCTGGGTGTGCAGAATGACAGCTATGTGGAAAATTCCATAAAGGAATGGGTCAGTAAAAATTAAGCTCTGATTCAAATCCTGAGGAAATCATTAAGGAAATCTTTGGAACTAGACGCAGCTTAGTGCTGTTTTTTGAGGTTCATGTGACACTTTGGTCTGGATCCACAGTGGACAAAGCTCAGCACGTTCCTACACGCTTTGTGAGCTCGGGACCTGCTGCATTTTATCAAAAGGGATAAATAGATGGATCTTTGAAGCAAATGACCTCTTTTGCCTGTGTATGTATGCCATAATCCCATTGCAATCCTGTATCAGCCTCCCTGATGTCAGACTGGCCTTGTACACACATTAAGCAGCTATCAGGTACTAGCTCTCTGCCCAGCCCACACCCTTTCCCTCTTGCCTCCCCTGTGTTGCTTCAAATCATTTTTCTTTGCTTGCTTGTTGCTTGCCTGCAGTGATGGGTGTGTGCCCTTTTCCTCACTGGGAGTCTGGCTGTAAATCATCCATTTGCTTTTTTTTTTTTTTTTCTTTTTACATTCTGGAGCAGCTGCTTTGAAGCAGAATAAAAGACCTATAAATGAGGAGAATCCTGAAGGTAAGTACTTTAGTGGGGACTTAATGTCAAGGTACAGCACACAGAGTAGCTTTTACAGGGACCATTTAAAAACTGTTACCTGCTGTATATTTGAAAGGCAGGACATAATTCAGACATCTGATTGACTGCCCTTGAACATTGATTCTTGCTCTATAATTTTTATTTTTAAGAAACCTTGATTTGAGAACTTTTTGAGGACATCATATATTGCGTTCATCACCCTTAGTGGATTACTTCTGCTTGTGCTACTTTTACTTCTAGTGAGCTGCACTAGATTTGTGGGGACAATAAGGCAGAGGAAGGAATGGCAAGCTCTGTCAGAGGAGCAGTGGAAAAGTCACTCCCGTAAATCTGAAAATTGCTTAAGAATTGCCTTCCCTTTTCACTGTAGAACGTGTTATTTCTAATATTTTTTTTCTGGTTCTGATTACCTGAGAGAGGACATGATTCAGTGATCTCTGATCCCTGCAGAGACCACGACACAGTCTGAATCCTTCTCTTGGGAATGGGGAAATGACAGTGACCCCCAGAGTACCCTCAATAGGAAAAGCATTGCCGTTCTGAGGCACTGAGTGTAGGGATTGAACACAAACATTTAGGAGGGGTACTAGACTTGAAATGTACTTCAGAAAGCTGTCGATCAATTATCTACAGCTTTCAAGTCAGACTGGTGCTCTTAAATACATTCTTGAAGTAGTCTTTAAACTGAGTCTTCCTCACAGCATCTCTAGTCAGATTATGGTGTGTTTATGACTCTTTTCCCAGCACCCTTCTCATCTCCCCCAAGATGCACTCTCTGTGTTTTCCTTGGTGTTTGCAGAGTTCCATGTTTGACCAAGTCTGTCTTCATCCATCCAGAGAAGTGTTGCTGTGTTTCTTGCATGTGGGGCATTTGAGCAGCTCCTGCAGCCTGAGGGCTTTTAATGAAGAACCTCTTTGGGGCTTTCTAAGTATGCTGATCACCAGAATCCTCCCTGAAAAGCATGATTTTCACTCAGTTTTACACCTAATTTTCTTCCACTCACCCTCTCATGGTCATGAGAGATGCTGACCAGGTTTTCTCCTATCTGTGCCCCATTTTCCAGTTGTTTTCATCATATCTCCATCACCCTACCACTTCACACTACTCTTTGACTCTTCTTCATGCCGTTCCTTAGCTCAGCAAAGAGATCTGTTTCCCTGCCCCTGCCCTTTTCTTGAGTCTTGGGGTGTCCCTCTCTCAGGTTTTGCACTGTAGGCTTTACACCACAAGAGATGTTTCCTTGGATCTTATGAAGTGCTTGAGGTTAGTGCTGTGATTCTTTAACTTGGGTCAAATCTGCCTCTGATGTGCCTGCTCCAAAGCTGTGGAGCTTAAATTCCAAGTCAGCTGATATGTCTGCTCTGCTTTTGCAGCTGGTGCTCTACAGTGATTTCCAAACAGTGTTTTCTTTATTTTGTAAGAGGTTGGCCTTAGACAGTTCAGTGGAAGCTGCACACTGGAGGTTTGATGGAGGTGGGGGCTGCAGAGCATGAGTAGTATGTGCCTGCCTGGAGATGTCTATGCACTTGTCTTCCACCTGTTTTCTATTAAGGAATATTAATACTCGAAACGTAAATTAAGCAAGTAGTTTCAGTATGCATGCCTTGTTTCCTTTAAGGCAGGGTATAACTCTACTGTGTTTGATATTTCCAAGTACTGGCATCTTTACATAGGTGAGAAACCTGCAAGTCTGAAATACAGCTCCTTACAGAAATCCAAGCCGATTTTAGAATATTACCATGTTATCACAAGCCAAAAGCATTGGCAATCAAATGTGTTTTTGAAGCTGTTAGCTTGTTTTGTTTTTTTTTTTTTGCTTTGATAGCACTCATGGCTTTTGAGGAAATGAACTCACCAACAGCTTGGAGGGCAGGACTGGCTCAGGCATAGTGAAAAAACCCCTAATGCCACTGTTTAGTCTTTGAGTCTGAAATTAAATTATATCCCTTTATTTCCATAAATGTTTCTGTTCACAGATGTACTGGGAAGGGAATTCAGTGAGAGGGGAATTCAGTGCCTTTGAATGCATGGACAGCAGAGGATGACAAAGCCTGAAAACAAATGTCCCGAAAAGTGTTTATTACCAGACATTAAACCAGGTAAAGCTGGAAAAAGTATTTTAGCTTATCTTTGCTTTGGTGACTGCTGCCAATATGTTAGACTTTTTTTTTTATTATTATTATTTTTTTTTAATCTCATCTCATTTGTGGGATATGCTCACTGATGCTTAAAGAGACCTTGACACATTGACATCAGAGTTGAATTACCGATGTGATAAATTGGAGGGCTGCTTGAACAGGTCGTGCCGGAGCAGCCTGCCAGGTGAGCGAGTGGATGTGCAGGTGTGTAAGTGCGCAGTACCTTCCTCTTGCCAGAAGTATTTCACGTATGTACAGCTCAGAAAAACAAAAGAACGTCTTTTCTGCCAAATACTGCGTTGCATAAAAGCTGGAGGATCTTCTGGGCTGTGCTTGCCCTGGAGGTGAAGTGAGGGCTTGAGGAAGGCTCCTGGCACATGAGCCTCTCTGCCGTGGCCTCAGAGGGATGTGCTGCAGCTCCCCCTTCCAGCCCTGCCCACCTGGAGCTTGGCGTGAGCTACCCCAGCCGGGAGCTGTGGCCGCTGTGGCTCCGCACCACGGGTCATTTCCCAGCCTTGGCTCCTCCACACTCCCTGGCAGCCCCGGCAGCGGCTGCAGCAGAGCCAGTGAGGACCCTGTGCAGGCATAAGTGGGAACAGCAAAATCCTCCTTTTCTGCAGAGCAGGCCAGCCCAGTGCTTCTGCTTGAGTTGAAGCCCAGTTATCTAAAGCAAAGACTCAAGAATTTAACCTTGAAATTTAAGTTTTAATAACGGGGCCGGTCAACTTAAAAAAGAGACACCTGTTCACAATGTGATCCAGGTATGTGGGTTTAATACACAATTTATCTATCTGTGAACAAGGATATGAGACAACACTTAAAGTTGATCATTATTATTTTTACCCCATTTCTCCCCTGCCCTGAAACTCCATTTTATTTTCAACTGAAACAACATTTTTCTTTTCCTTTTGTCAGCTGACCTGGAAAATCCATTATTCTGCTAAGTACAAGCTACCCTAAATACGTGTAGCTTCTGTATAGAAAAGTAATCTGTGCTTTTTTTGCCATCACTCTAGAGTTTCAGATCATTTGTTGTACCCTTCCCTTTGTAGTTATGATTTGCTCTGTTCTGTGGCCTGGAATATGATAATCTGAGCAGGGCAGAAATGCAAAATAGACCAATTTTTACAACCAGATTTAAAATTTCTATTGTTTGGTACAAACACAATGAAGTAAAAAAAAAAAAGTGCTGTATTAATTTATTCTTTTCTAGAAGCAAAAAAGTGGAGAGGGGAAAAGAAATCTGTAACAGAAAAAATACAGAAGATAAACATCAATATTTGGTGTTTTCTAGGTTTTATTTCCTTTTACTTTTTAAACTATGTTTTTCAAACCATCCACTTGCAGAAATTTGCATTTTATGAGGACAAAGTTACAAAATGTGATGAGATCGTTTTAGGTAACTTACCTCTTTTTCCTCAGCTTGTGGCATCTAAAACCAACCGTGCTTGTCATCTTCTCAGTAATTTCTCATCATCAGAGTTAAAGTATAATCTAAGTTTGCAACAAATGAGCTGTTCCAAGATGAGTTTGCCAAACTCTGTGTTGCATTGGGATTTCTGCAATTATGATTAGATACTGTCAAACAAAAATGATCTGTGGAATACAAGTGAATCCAACATTGATTAGCCTCTCTAAACCCCACAAGAGGTTAGGAGAAGCACAGCTTGCATTTAATCTTTTGTCTCAGTGTCTCTGCCAACCACAGTTGTGCTGGTAGATACAGAGCAACTGAAAGGGAATGAAGGGAGGAGAAACAAGGTGCTGATGGAGGACTTTTCTGTTACTAGGATTTCTATTTTAGGATGTTGTCGGTGCTCACCAGCGGTCTCAGAACTACTGAATGGCTTGTGTTGCTGCATCTCATCCAGAGGACAGAAATCCACCAGTACAAGAGTTTGTGTGTGCTAATTAGCTTTACTCCTCTCCGTCTATCTGCCTTTCTCTTTTTAGCTGATTATTGTTCCCCCACCAAAAAGTAAAATAAACAGGCAAAGGCAGCATTTGCCTTAGTTTGTCTGAGAAATTCCCTATGGGAAATGGAAGCATATTTCTGCTATCTGTTAGTGGATTTTACATTCCTGCTCCACAAACTGTTCTGCACGTGAAAAAGATCTCTCCATTTGAGCAGTTTCTCTAGCAAGCTTCATAGCTATTTGCTGGATTAAGGCAAAGTTAGGATCTGTGTCTGATTTTAATTAATCCCAAACAGTGCTTCCATTTCTGCTGTTGGCCAGTCAGGAGAAACAGGTGAATAGTCAATATGTTATATCTTTTACAAAAATGTAATGACTACTGCATGAAGATGTTATCTCTGCTGTAAAGCTGTCGTGTTATTCTCGGGAAGGAAATTCTTATTTTCCAATCCATGTACCTATGCGGAGCAGTCACTCTTTTTGTACTCTGTACATGCAAAATGTTTAATAATTTTATCTTCAGCTTTCAAGCATAAAAGTGAGAAAGTTACCCTATTCCAAACTTAACTACTTGTGTATGTTGTTGGTATCAAATAAGATTACTGCCTGGAAGATAGTGCATTTATCTTTCACTTGAAATAACCCAGGAGAATGTCAGATGCAAAATGAGCTTTGAAATCTTGGCGTTTACTGCTGCTTTATACTATGTGTGTGCAACTTCAGTCAGCGGCAGTGACATTACTGTGCAAGGCCCTGCAACTGAAGGGAATTGGCACTCTAGTAAAAATCCCTCTTTGCAGAGCTCAACTGGAAATATGTTACTATGCAGCTCTGTGTTTGTCTCCTGAAAAGTGGTGATCAGAATCATGTCTGCTACCAGCCAGGCAGGATTCTCTCCTTGTCAGTTTATTCCTTCCTGTAGCTAATCCTTTATCCGGTGTTATCCGGCCGTCAATGTCCTACTCGTTCCTCTCCCAACAGGCACTCTCTGCTTTGGCTTTTGTCCCGTGTAAACGCTGCCCTGCCAAGTCTCTCTGCGATGAGCTCCCTTCCGTGCTCTGCTGTTGCAGCATCAGCATCTCACATCCTCATGGATTAGCTCTTCCGCCTCTGCTCCAGTGATGTGGGTGCTGCTGGCAGAGCATCCTGCAGAGAGCACGGGCCCCTGGGCAGCAGGACACGGAGTGGCTGGGGATGGTGGACTCAGCATGGGAGTGGGTGATGTTCATTGTCATTGTCAGTGTCATTGTGACCTGGGCTGAGGGAGGCTGGATGCTTGTGCCTGCAGAGGGTTTATCTGTCAGCTTTGCATCACTGCTGAAGTTAATTGCTGGGAAGGTCTGGTGGTGTTTTCAGAAATGGACTGATAGACTTAGCTGTCAGCCTTATTTTCTCTTGTTTATGTTGGTCATCACAGGGGCTCTTTGGAGCAGGAGCATAAACACACACACATGCACACACAGTTTCCATGTGTGGCCATATTTCCCAGAGATCAGACCTGAATCTGTGCTGCTGTATACAAAAGACTAGACATAAAGTCAATAAGTGTGACTTTACTCAGCTGTAAATCCTCTCATCCTGTCATCTTCCCATTCAGGAAAGAAAGATGTGAGAATCATGTAGATTCAGAAGCAGAGGCTCATGGAAAGACTGAGGGTCTCCTGATCCCAACATGGATGGTGGTCTCTTCTGGAAGCAGCTGTGTTAGTGGTAGGGTTTATTAGGGCAATCTATGCCCCCCCACCTACCTTCTTCTTGCTGGAGGCTGCTTACTTTGTACCTCAGCCCTGCCAAGCAAGTTGCTCATGTAGAAGCTCTTTAATTTTGGCTTTTTAAAGTCAAACCAAACCTCTCTTATTTGACATCTGTCCTTGGGAAATGAGAAAAGAGCAGCTGGGAAAGCAGCCTCCATTGGTGGCTGTCAGGAAAGGATGTTTGGCTACAATCTAATTGTCACAGAGTGAGTCTACACATAGATTGATTAAAATTGATTAAGAAGGTGTATCTCGGAACTCTCCCAAAGCTAACTGACAGCGGAAAACAATCTTTTTCACTGAATCCTCTGGCATGCAGTAATTTGGTTAGCAGAAAGACTGGAAAGATTTAGCTAATCAAGGATGGGAGAACCAAATAGGATTTGAGGTGATGCACTTGGTTCCTGGCTCTCCACACACTTACTGCTTGATGTTGCCTGAGCTCACCAGTCTCTTTGGACATCCTTTCCGGGTATGTACAGGTATGACAGTGGGAATAACTTCTGTCTCTCCTATTTTTTTCAGGATCAGCTGCATTATTCTCTGTTTCTCGTGTGTGTGTCTACAACACACAGTGCATCTGGGATGTCTTAGCTGGGGTCGCTGGCCAGCTTTGCCACACATTAAAAAACAGCAGCAAAAAGGAGGTCAGAAACAAAGGCCAAAGCAGATCTCATTACTTCTTTAGTGGTACATCGGAAACTACCCTAAGGCCTGGTGCATGGCAGGCTCTTCCTACAATTCCTCTGAAGGTTCATTTCTTCTGCTCTATATTCAACTCCATGAGTACCACATTCCTCTTTTCATTCCTCGTGAGCCTACCTAAAGACTGACAGCTGTATGGAATACTACCCTTGTCTGTGAAAGGGATTATTTTCCACAATGTGCTGAGATGAGATCAGAATAGGGGACGTGCAGGAGTGACGATCGCTCGCCCTGTGCCACAGCACCAGTCAATCCCAGCAGCGGCACCATAAAGTCGTGCCGCTTACGTGAACCTGAAGTGCACTTACAGGAATTTGGCCCGTGATTTTTCTGCCCGTATCACAGTTGCGTGACAAAACTGGGTCCTCCCGTGAATCTGAGCAAAAAGCAGAAGTAGATTATGTTCTGCATGGAGCTATTCTGAGCTATTTAAAAGCGAATAAAAAGCAGCCCAGGGAAACTAAAAATAACGCTACCGTGCTGTGGGAAGCATGGATGTACCATGTCAGAAGCAGAGTTAGGGAAGAGAAACTTAGCCTGGTCCAGTTCAAGGCAAGGCTGGTTAAATCGATGCTAATGATGGTGC